TATGTAGCAGTGTAGTTGTCCATTTTGCATTTTGAATTGAGGTGAAAAAAGTTTGATTGATTATGGATATGCAAGTTTTTGTTTACCGTTTAATGAAACTTAATTGCTAATTCAAAAGGTGTATGATTTTTTATCTTGGTTCTTTTTCCATTTCAAATGATTACTAAGAAGTGAGAACATGGAGTTAACTGAATAGGAATGACGTTTCCAGTTTTAAAGTATTGGTCTTTAGTCTACTGATAAGTCTGGTCATAATCTCAATTAATTTTAGTTTTAAAAAAGGTCTTAGCTGAGCGGAGCTTATTGATGGAAAAGATTATGCATTTCTATCTTTTGATTACATTTAGTTTCTTTTCATTTCCCACCATTTCTTACTTGGCAAGAGTTGTGTTAGGTGTCTACTTCATTAACAAGAGAGCTTCACAGGGAAGTTCTCTTTGTGTTTGAGCCTTCAATGAGTATGGTGCTGTTAAAGTTCTTGAAATTCAGACATGTCTTCTGCCGTGGGTTGTTGCTGTTTCTAAGTGGAGCTCATTCCCTTGTTCTTCTTTTACTACCTCTTCGTTGGAGAAATTTATTTGGAAAATTGTTGTTTCTTATTCTCCAGATACTTGTGTAGGCAATTGATGATGACTGCAATCAAACAGGCAAATGATAGCTGGGCTGCTTGGATGGTCACAGGGAACCTCTGCTTCAAAAGGTCAGTTCAGCAGTCAATTTCTTGAGAAACTACTCTTCTATTGCTACATTGCTTTTTTATTTGTTTCTTTTGGTTGATATCATACTTCTTCATAGTTCATATAAAGCTCTAACTTACTAGTACTGCTTGTTCTTGGATGAAAAGTCATCTTTTGTTTGATTAGAACATACCAAAGATCATAAGAGGAATTTTTTACATTGTATGAATGTCAGTGGTATTAGAATGTTGAGGTGAAAGTGCTGTAATTATATTGGGATTTACTTTTAATGTACTATTAATTAAATTTGGTTGATATTTAATTATTCATACAAGTAACTCTCTTGTTGCCATGGTTTTCGTTCTTTACCTTTCTTTCCTATCTAATATGCATGGTAGTATTTCAAATGTTATTGTGTTCCTGACTGCTGCTTTTTAGTAGGTTGTGCTGGACAAGAAGAAACAAGTGGCAACAGTAGATAGAGAAGTTGATGGTGGTCTTGAAACACTGTGTTTGGATTTGCCTGCTGTGATCACGTAAGTATCTGATCCAGTTAATTTTTGGTGTTCATTATATAAGTAATCACTAATAAGGAATCCATTATTTGGGTCTGGCACATTAAAGCTGTTCTAATAACACAATAACTATTAAAGATTTGCTATTTAGAGGTTACATGTGATGCAAATTCATACAATTTTTTAATTATTTAAAGTAAGCATGATAACTATTGTACTGTTGTAAAACACTTGATTTCTAAATAACATATAGTGAGGTTGGCGCTTGGAAGAAAGGACTGGATGAATTTTTTTTTTCCCATGTGGCCAGGCATATTACCTCATTAAGATGTTCAAAAGCTGTATCTTAGGTTTTATGTTTTATTATTCAGTTGTGGTGGTTTCAGGTGAGGGAGGTTGGTTTGAGGTTATGTCTTCTTTGTTGAGGGTTTCCCCTAAGTTTCTAAGTCACCATGCACATTGCGCTAGCCTTAATAAGGAAAAAAAAATGGGAATCCTGGTATGTATGAGAAGGAGATTCTCAAGCAAAATGCTTGACAAAGCTACCGGTCAGAAAAGGCCTTAAAAGGGAAATTACTTGGATGGGAGCCCTACAAGTGTGGGATAAAATTCATTCTTATAAAATTGTTAGTTATGTTTTTAAAACAACTTCTAAGTAACCTTAAAAAGACTAACACTCAAAATGCCAATTGCTCATCATAGGTTGATGCCATTTTGTTTGCTCTTTCTGGAATATACACTTCCACTGATGCTGTAGCAGCACAGCAAATGTAATGGAGAAAACAGATCATATGTTTTCAACACATAAAAACTGCCTCGGACTATGCATTTTCTGTAATAGAATTCCTGGTAATATTGACTTCATCTGTCATGTGCAGCACTTATTTAAGACTGAACCAGCCTAGATATGCAACACTTCCCAGCATAATGAAGGCAAAATCAGAGCCCATAATGAAGTATAATCCAGAAGAGTTGAATGTGGGAATGAAATCCGATTTAGAGGTTGTTCAAGTCATAGAACCGCCCAAAGAGAAAAGCAGGAGTAATTCTATCATCTGTTGATGAGCTGATCGACAAGCTTAAAAATGAAGCTCATGTAATATGAAAATTTCCCACTTCTCTTATGACAATTGGTCTTTACTGATTCACAGCATTCTCAAATTAATTGATGACCCTGAACTTACCCTGAAAGTTTACAGAAATGAAAGTCTATAAATTTCCTCCGTTTGCCTCTAGCTCTATTTATGTGTCATTTCTTTTTGAAGGTTGATATGATTCTCCATAGGAGCATATTGTTGGTTGGATTGGGCCAAGGTCTGTGGTTGTTCTTACTTTGAAGTTTGAACCCCAGCCCATTCTTTTATATATCGCATCTTGATTTTCTCTATTTATTGATGGCTATTGATTTCCTCACTTTTTGATGGGTATTGGAGAAATTGGAGAAAAAAATGAAGGATCTATCATTTTCGTGCCGAGGTTTGTCATAATATGCAGGTGATAGATAAGTAAAGAAGAAAAGAAAAAGATGTTATTTGAAGATGGGGAATGTGCCATCATTGCCATTGAAATTTCACAGTGGAGGCGGAAAGAGTCTTCCCACTTTCCACATGAATATATTCTAGCCTAGTGGCACTTGGTGTTCCGAAATTAAAGTGGACTCCATTCAAAGTTTAAATATTTTGATAATAATAATATAAAAAAAATTATATTAATTTATATATTGAATGTAAGTTGTGACATAAGGTCATTATTTTTTAAAATCAATTTAGGTTTATGTCAAGAGGTTATACAATAGAAGTAATTCATCTATTAAGATTTTTGTTGGAGAGTTTTTGAGTGGAAAAGAAAGATTTACATATAATATTCATTGACTTAGAGAAAGTATATGATAGAGTTTTTTAAAAGGTGTTTTGGTGGGCTTTAATGAAGAAAATAATTCATTTAAGTAGTATTTGGTATGGGTTGATTACTACAAAAATTATGATGATCTATGTTTGATAAGCATTTAATGATTCTACGTGGTAGTAATCTTAGATCACCGAGAGTTATCAAATTATTGTTTTAGAGGATGATCTAATTATTATACAAAAAGGTAAGAAACTTTTATAATCAAGTCAAATAATATGTAAAATTAATAATAATCAATTTTATTCATTTAATATGTAAATTCAAAAATTACTGCATCTTAAAATTGTAATTATTTTATAATACAAGTTTTTACATTTTCAAATTAATATTCATTATAACAAGTTTAAAAATAATTTATGTATTTAATTACTTTTTAAAATATTTTATATATAATATAATTTTTTGTTTTTCGTTTATTATGAATTTAAAAAATTAGTTTTATTTTCTAATTAAATTTTTTTTACATAATTTATATTATAAAAATCAATTTACTTATCAATATATATATTTATTAATTTAATAATTTAATAAAATTTTATTATAAAAAATAAATATTACTAATATTTTACAAATTATTATCAATATTTTACAAATTATTATCTTTAAACAGCCTTAAATTATTAATTTATGTAATTATTATAATATATATTATTATTTTCATACTTTTAAATAAAATATTATTTAATTTTTAGTAATACTAAATATAATAATTTTTAATTTTTAAGAATTAATGATTATTAATCAAATAAAATAATTTCAAATCACTAGTGTTAAGATCATTTTGGTAATAAGATTACGTTAGCAAGTACATTACCATGGTAATTTTGTAAAAAATACCAGATGTTATTTTTAAAGTACATTAACATAATTAAAGACATTTTATGAATGAATTGTAACGTATGTGAGGACATCTAGGGACGTAACTAATAGTTTTCCAATTGCCTCAGGATTACATCAAGACTTAGTATTAAATTTTTTTTTTCTTTTTTGCATTAGTGATGGACTAGCACATTGAACATATCTAAGACAAAGAGCCATGGAGTATGTTTTTTGTTGATGATATAATTTTAATTGTTGAAATTAATAATGATTTTAATGCGAAATTAAAATTATGAAAGTATACACTAGAGTCTCAAAAGTTTTTAAATTGATTAGATCTAAAATAAAATATATGAAATGTAAGTTTAATAATTATACAAAAGCAAGAGTTAGTGTGATTAAATTAAATGATGATAGTATCAGAGAGTAATTATTTTCGATAGATGTAGGATAAGATTATAAGAGATAAAATAAAAAATAAAGAAATTTGAGAAAAATTAAGAGTATTTTAAATAGAGGAAAAATGAGAGGGACATTTAATATATTTGGACATGTGAAACGTAGATCGCACTAATTAAGAAAAATGAATTTTTAAATTTAAAAAAGATCAAAATATTTAGAGATAAATTACGTAAAATGTAAATAGAATAATAAAAAATGATACGAGGGTTAAAAGTATATGAAAATATTATTTTTAATAAAAATAAATAGTCAAAAAAATTTAAAACTATAATCTAATATTAATTTTTTTATACAACTGACCTAGAGTATAAGATTTGGTTTGTTATTATTATCATTTATTTTTATAAAATAATTATTTTATTAAGCAAAAAATATTTTTTTATTTTTTAATATATTTTTGCAAGTTCAAATAAATTTACTTAATTGAATCTAATAAATTCGTAAAAATTTATTTTTTTACTATCTTTTAATGAATTCAAATACAGAAACTAAATAAAAAAAACAACTCTTTTTTTACTTGAGCAAATGTTCTTTAATTTTTTTTTAATTTGTGAAAATTTAATCCAAAAATATATGAACCGCCGAAATTGAGTTGGGGCACTTACCACTTACAAGCCACTTTCATCAGTCAGCGACGCGGCAGCCCGCAGCCCGGACATTTCCCTAGGTCAGACTCCTCCAGGTGGTCCTATTTCATTGGACCTACGTTTTCTACTTTCAATTCCCAAAACTTCATAATTTCTGCTCCAATCCAGTATCTTATCCTACCGTATATATTTCATGCGAATTTCTACAAAAAAAAAAAAAAAGTGTGTGAACGTTGTGAAAAAAATGGATTCAATAGAAGACTGGGATTTTCTGGATTTTAGTTTCATCGATGAAAATACTTCTCCAGATTTGCTTTTGCCCAATTATAGGTTCTTTTCTTTTTTAATTTCTGTTTAATCTAGGCTTTGTTTTTTTTTTTTTTTTTATATAGTAAATTCTGAATTAATTAAGGATTTTTTTTTTTTTTTTCATTAGATTTAAATTCAATTTATGATTATTCTTTTTGTTTCAGTAGTGGTGGAGAAATTGAATTCTCATCTGGAAATATTGTGCATCAAGAAAACGAATTCGTAGATAGAGATTGCTCGCGCAAAAGGTATTATTTCAAATCATATTTCAAAATTTGTCTTATTTTTTAGAGTTTTATGAGAGTTTTATTATTAAATATAATTCAGAAACTCTGTTTGGGTGTTTTTTCCCCCAAGATTTTATTCTAGTTTCGCTATGTTTTATACTTATAATTCTTCATTTTAAAGAAATGTTGCAATTAATGGCTTTTTCAGGGGACGCAGTGGATCATGCAGCAGGCCAGGGAACAAAGCTTGCCGTGAGAAATTGAGACGGGAGAGATTGAATGAAAGGCATGTATCTTCTTCGATTAGATTCTTCAAGAAATTGTTATAACCTTTTATATTTTCCTGTATTACTATTGTTATTTTAAAACAAAGGCATAGATTTTGGTTAATGGTTGCAGTTTTCTTTTTGTTGGTTTCATTGTTAAAAATGATGACAACTTTGAGTTGAGTGTTAGTTGTATACTTCATTTGTATCTCTTTCTTTCAAGAAGGTAAGATTTAATTTAATCGAACAGATTTTGTTATTCTCTTGTAGGTTTCTGGATCTAAGCTCTATTTTGGAATCTGGGAGATCTGCCAGGATTGATAAATCCGCAATACTTGATGATGCCATCAGAGTTTTGACCCAACTAAGAACTGAGTTTCAGGAGTTCAAAGAAACTAATGAAAAGCTATTGGGGGAAATAAAAAGTTTAAAGGTTACTTATTTACCTTTTTTTAATCTAGACAAGTAAGAAAAATTTTTCTTTAGGCAAAAATAGACATCCACATCATCTTGGCTATGTAATTGCTCAAATGTTCATTGAATTACACCAGGTTTTCAACTTCTTATGTTCTTCTAAATTTGTTAAAGTCGCTTTTCTTTTTTATTCTGTACCTTGTACAATGGACGTTACTGACTTTAATTTTGGTTTATCATTACGATTTGGATCAATTTATTGTTTAATATGACACTTATTGTTGAGATGGATAGATAAAATTGAGAAGTTAATGAGATCGAAAAGAAGTATTTCGATGTTCTAGTTGGAAATATACCTTGATTTTTTTCTTTTCCCTTTGATCTCAATTTGGTTGAGCTGGAATCATGTTTATTGCCATGTCTAGGTCATTTTGAATTTTGATTATTTGCTTTTGTATATGACATATAAATGGAATGATAAATTTGAGTGTTGAATTATTCTGTTGTTTGAGATTGCATCATAAATTTGAGTATTGAATTGTTCTGTTGTTTGAGTTTGCATCATAAATTTGAGTGTTCTTTTCCTTCTCTCTTGTCCTTCTGTTAACTTTGCACTAAAACAGGCTGAGAAGAATGAACTTCGTGAAGAGAAGCTTGTATTGAAGGCAAATAAAGAAAGGATAGAGCAGCAGCTTAAAACAATGACCATCTCACCAGCCGGGTATCTTCCTGCACACCCAGCAGCGTATCATCCTGGGGCAAATAAGATGGCGGTTTTTCCTGGTTATGGTTTGGTACCAATGTGGCAATATTTGCCTCCATCAGCACGGGATACATCTCAAGATCATGAACTTAGGCCCCCTGCAGCGTAGTGCGTTTTTCTTTCTTTTATTTTTACTTGTCAGTTGAGGTTACAAATACTTGGACAATCTCAAATATCTTTGAGTATCCTCCCACAGTTTTGGCCTTGGCTGATATGTAAATAGTTTATTGGAAGTTTGATTCTCCCCTTCGGAATTCAACCATTGTTAATGGATAGCTGGAATGACCAGTTTGAATAAATGATTCTTTCACTGTCACATTAATTTGAATACCTCTCTCTCTCATAGCTCTTGCTGGAATCTGACAGTTGAAGCTGGAATTTCTTAGCCAGACAGAATTTTCAGTGTTAGAGCTTCTGGGAATTCAATGGTTATGCTACAAGTTAAAAATTGAGTCAACTTGTTATTTCAAAAAAAAAAAAAAAAGAATGAGTCAACTTGTGTTCGTTTGTATTCCTGCGGCAGTGAATTCTTGTGTAACTTGTTTTTTGGAGTTTGGTCCTGTTATACGAACTTCTACAGCCTGCTCATTACTGCTTAAGCATATGATTTGGGATAAAGAAATTATAAAGATGTTACACGCAAATTACTATAGATTTAAAAAAAAAAATTTTTATAAAATATTTGTATTTTAACCAGAAAAAGAGATTAAGAAGGGAAGGAATAAAGAATTGACTAGGAATTTCATGCGTGAAGGTGAACTTTGGAGGAAGCAGGCTGGTAGTTTGAATCTCTGTAGCATAGCTAACATTGCCCTGTCATTCTTTTCGAATTAGAAAATTAATATAAAGACATCCATTTAAACTAAGTTTTAAGTTCTGGAAATGAACTTGTTTGTTTGGTATAGCTTCTTCTATGCCCTTTCCCCTGGTCTTCTCTCATTTCTGAATTATAATTTCTGGATTTATCATTTTCTCATTATAGTGTTCGTCTTTTGTGATGCTTCCCTTTCAGCTGAAAGGGTTTTATGTGCTTTAGAGTCGTTTTCTTGGTCATAGTAGGCCAAGTAAGATTGCTCGTCTTCCAATTTGAGCTTCCTGATCAAGATCTTTGCCCCACAGCAGCAAATACAGGCCAACAATGACAATTACTCCCCCTAAAATGCTGAACAAACATGGGTGAACTTTTCAGAACCCTCGAGTTATTTGTTGATCTGCTTCCTTAACTGAAATGCATATGCATGAAGTTTTTGTTCTTGATAGGGTACAGAGACATCATGAGTAAATTGAATTTGAAATTACCTGCCCATATAGAGCTTTTCACCGAGGACAAGGTATGCAAGAACTGCCACCAGTATTGTTGAAAGGGGATTGAACATAGTCACAAAGACTCTCGTACACCACAGTTGAATGAAGATTATTATACCGGAGCACACCACTCCCTGTCATGGATGATTCGTGACTACAAATTTACAAGACAAACTTAAATTTTCTTTCACTTCTTCATTATTTAACTGTAGAATAAGCTCCTTACAGCATATACAGTAGCCCAGAAGTCGATATTGAATCCCATTTTCCAATCATCTGGTTTATGCTCCACAATGACCGTGAAGACGGCTGATTGTGCTGCCCCAACAAAGCTCATCCAAGTAGTTAATGATAGTGGTGCCGGATATCATTTCAATGTAAATGCCTACAGATTTTTGGAGATCATAAGCATACTTCTGCTTCTCTGGTGTGGAAATTAGTCATTATCTTTCTTTTCATCTTTAGTTATTTGCAGAAGATGCAGATAACTGGTAAAATCTCTCAGTTCTGCATATTGTAAACCTTTTTCTTTCTTGTTCTATTTTTAATCCTGGATTTATCAGTGCTGTATCAAATAGTTATTTATAATTTCAATTGTATTTTCCTTTACCTCTTATTATTTATATTTTATTATTATTCTCAGTTGGTTATAGATTTTACCTGCATGATGTACAGTATAGACCAAGTTATGCAGCTTGCAACAGTAAGAATTGAACCCTTCAACCAATTCTCATGAATGGGAGATTTTCCTTGAATATGTACCAGAGGATGCCATAGAGTTTTTATGGCAGGACCTTTATACAATGTCATCATTGTTACACCAATCAATGAGACACAGGTCCCAATAACTTTTGCTATTCCTCGAGGATTCTGAAGATTAACAACCTCCAATCTGCATGTAGTTGATCCTATATATGAACTGATGTTTATATTCATTGATGCTTTTGATAATTTATGGATCGAGATGGATGCTAACCTGAGCACAACCGCAATTAGGAATGTCAAAGAAGCTATAGTATTGACAAGTGCTGCAAGGAAAGTTGGTGAGGTGTGTCTCAAGCTTGCAAATTCATGTTGAGAGTCAAACTCACCCTGAGGTAATTGGAAGAAACGTAATCTTAGCTCAGTTAATTCATGCAGTCACCCTTAAGAGGTGGTATCCAGCAAGTTTGAGGTTCGAGTATCAGCACCTGAAACCCCTTCCCTCATCCCTAGGCTGCGGCCTCCTATCTACCAAAATAAGAAAAAAAGGGAAATGTGAATGTGACATCCTTACCCCAGGATGGAGAGAACAAACATCTCCAGAAAAAGAGCAAATGACAGCTTTGGCCTCATTTTTCTGCAGCAAAGAAAGAATAGAAGTTATATATGTCAACATAAAACATGATTGCAAATATTTTCATACAAGATTGGTGAAGTAATATTTGCATGAAGATGAATATTTCTGTACCTTTCAAGGAAATAGGCAAAAGGGAACATGACGATGCCAGACACAATGTGTCGATGAGTTATATGGACATGAGGATTCATCCCATGATTAAAGCAAGCTTCTGTGATAATATAGTGGAAAGTGTAGCCAACCTGAGCAAGGACCATGAGGAGATGTGGCTTGAAGCTTCTGTAAATGTCCGAAAACGATTATGCTTTCTGCGCCACAGTCTCCCCCGCTCACTTCTTCCCTCTTAACTGCGTCACAAGCTGAAGGAGCAAACAAGTATATGTACACTCAAAAAGGTAATGGCAGATTTGTTTTTATTTCCGTTACTGTTGCATGTTGTTGTTAGGATCATGTTCTTGATTAAATTCCATTCGAAATTGCATTGATTCCCTGATTAAGCCAGATAGCAAAAAAGAAGAATAATGCTCATGATCCGTCACCTTCGGTTTTAAAATTCTGTCATTCACATAACTAAGACAGGTGATTAAATTGGAGACGAGGAAAAAACTGAAAAAAAAAAAAGAAAGAAAAGAAAAAGGTGGTTAGCAACCAACTCTAATTCAACTTGCTTCGAGTTTCTATCAAGCGATGCCCGATTCTTTAATTCGTTATGCTATATTGTTGCCTTTTTACACTTAGATGAACTTCCTATCAATATCTGCTTCAATTTGCGAAAGCATGAAAACTGTTTCCCTCAAATACTTGCTTTTATGTGACATTGCAGGAAAGAACTTTACTTTTTCGCAAGTTTTTTGTGTTGCTCACCCATAAATTTTCAGTGCACATGAAATCAAAAGGAATCTTTGGTTTATGAATGTCTTGGATTTTATTCTTATTCCTGAGTTTCAAGCTCCATTTTTATATATCGACATTTGATTAAAATTCTTCATCAAGTGGATAAACAATAGCAATGCATGTTCTGCTCCAGGATTTTTTTCTTTTAAACTTTGTTTCACTCTTTTCTTATTTTGATTATTATCATAACACAACGAAAACGGAGGGAGGAAAAAAAAATGAAACCCCTTCATGAAATCGTAACGCATATTGTTAATTTAGTAATGGTGGGATTCAATTTCTAGCTTTTGTTACAATCACTTTAATAAATTTTGACGAATTCAGTTGACACTTTGTTTTGCCAGGTCCACTTAAAAGGTACAACTTAAATTAGTTATAACTTATTTTTAGTTTCCATCCACAAATAAAACACTAGGCAGGCACACATTACTGAATCATTTATGAGACGAAAGTGATTTAGAGTTTAAAACTCTTTCTTTGAAATTTTGTGGGATGAGATTCATCATTTGTGAGATGAAAGAAGGGTTACCTCCCATTATGTTGTATGTAGATATATACATATATATCTATACATACATACATACATATATATATATATATATATATGTGTGTGTGTGTGTATATAAAACATGTTTTGCAACACAAGGGGTAAGTTTGGCATAGCATTTAAGCTCTCAAAAAGCTGATTTGGACTGCAAATGCAATGTCAAACGGTGTGATACAAAATTGTCAGTATAATTGGCAAGAAGTGACTCCAACCATGGAAAGAAAGAGAAGTAGAAGCATATAGTAGCCAAAACATTCATGGCCTCTCAGCATAATATACAAGCTGTTGGAAAGGTTTTATCAAGGAAAAAGAGACAATTCTATAATTGCAGCCAGTTAAATTAGATGGAAGGGCAAGTAACCACAAGCACAAGAATGGCAAATCCATAAATATAATTAGTTAGAAGAAAAAAGGGGAAGTACAAAATGGTGCTTAACTTTCATGCCTTGCCGTCTAAGCATGTTAGTAAGAGCATGATTGAGCAACCAGTTCACCAAAACCCACTATGGTTGAAGTTCCCAACTTTTCAAGCCAATTAATTTCACATGACAAAGACAAAATAATGATGTTTGCTTTATCCCATCTCCAAAAAGAACAAAAAAAATGATGTTTGCATCACAATAAGTAGTTCTTTTGGTAATTCAATTGCTTGTAAAGGAGGAATTTTCCATATCTATTTACCTTTTAAATCCACAAAAAAATGTTCTGTTTACCACCACCAGAAGCAAAAAGAATGATACCTATGAGGGAATAAAACAACGTTGAGTATCATAACACTATTTTCGCTTTTTTTTTTCTTTTGTATGGACAGTACAAGAAGATCAAAATTTCTGAGATCAATGATTTAGGAAGGTGGAAGAAAACCAAAAGCTTGTACAACAAATGGTTTAACAGCCAGCCAATAGCCAAAGCGTAATTAAGGATGATATTGAAATTGCTATCCAACCAAGGAAGGCCAAGGCAACTGACAACTGATATTTTTGGCATTCTTCTCCAAGTTTGCAGCTTCCCAGGTCATTAAAGTACAATACTGCAATGCCTGCTGAGGCAGAAGCTGCAGCCAGAGACATTGTAGCCGTCACCTGTGTAAAATTTAACAACAATATGACTTTCGATTGACATAACTAATTCCAAAATCATATTGGACTTCATGAAAGTATCAAGAAGGTTCATAGGTTCAAAAGAGGCTGACCCAGTCTCCAACTACAAAAAGGCTGACTAAAACGGGATTATGGAGGACCTTCTTTTTCGCCACGGCAATTCCATCTAATAACGCAAGACCAAAGCTCCAAACAACTTGTAATCCCATTGAAGCAATAAGGTAGCTGCACAAGCAAGATGGTCTCCATAAACAAATCTTTAGATTTCCTAGGTTGAGAGATACATTTGCAAACAATTAAGAGTTTTTTTTTTTTAACTATAACCTCATCATCTATAGCCAAATCAGTACAGAGGAATATTTATAAGAAAGTTGGTGATGATATAACCATTAACCAAGTTCAAATTGGACGTCTTGTCCATTAATTTATGAATGATTCATATTGAAAAGTTCTCTGGTTGCAGAAGTAGCTAGTTTATATAAACTACTGTAGAAACAAATAAATGAGTAAAGGGTAAAAATGTAGGAATTGATTCCTTAGATATGCATTTAGTGTTCTTAGAGGTTGCACCAAGTGGTGATAAGATTGCAGAAGACATCAAAATCAGTTTAGTGACATAACAGCTATAAGAATTGATATGTTTGATGGCCCATGAAGACTCATTAAACCACAAATATGCAGTTATGATCCAAATGTTTATTCACAAGGATTAGTAACTCAACAAAATTTATAGCACTTGCATTAGATACTTTAACTAGTAGAGTTCCATTGGTTACATGAATTATTTAGGTCTCACATCTGGCTAGCTAATTTGTTTTAGGCATAAAACTCTTTGATCACACCTCAGAAGACAGAACTTTAAATTCTACATTAAACCAATATCATGCCTATGAGATGTAGCATTAAATCACCCCTGCTATGGTTCCATAAAATCAATGAAGATTCTATCATCATACACTTAAACCTACTACACTCTAACTCAGCTTGTTATTAAGTGCTAAAAATTTAGAAAACCTAATCCAAAGTTATGACTTCGCAAAGCACAATCTTTTCCTCATACACTTGATCCTAATACAGTAGGATGCAAATGATACAAAAACAAGATCTTACTAAAATGAGATTCATTTCCTTATAAGCAATGCATCCATACTAAAGCAACTGTAAATTTTCATCTATCTAATCAGGCATAAGCAGAAACTGAGAAAAATGGTCATAAATCATCCTTTCATTATCTAGCATATAGAATATTAGAATTTCCCCAACAAGTAAAGCAAGAATTAATATCTATCTTCCTTTTCTTTTCTCTAATCACCATGTGTACAAAGTATTATATGAAATCCTGATTTCCCTAGTACTTTTCCAAAAAGATAAAATAAGATGGAGATAAGACAAATGATCTAATGTTCCCTAATACAATTACTTGAATCATGAAAAATACACGAACAGTCAGCACTCGACCTTCTCTTTTTCACAAATTCAACAGTTTGACAAGGATGGTAAGCACTGATCAATGTGTAACAATTGTAAAAATTACCAGCATTTATATCTCAAATTCATCACAAAATTCCAAATTTAGTTATTATACTGATAATTCTTTACAAAATGCAACTCATTTCTCAACAAAATATATTCAACTCACTGTTACTATAAACAGCAAGAAAGCAGATATTTCAACCTCACAATTTGAATGATATACTAGCATATTTTTGAAATCCTTTATCATTAAACTCAACAGAGAATCAGAACATTATTGCAGCGTCAAGACAAAATAAATAAATATTGACAGATCAACCAAGTTAAGTTTTGCCAACTAATCAAAACTCTGCAAGATTCCCAAACCCAACATGATCTTCTACTTAACTTTTCCAAGCACAAGATAGAAATTACAAACAAAAGCAAAGGCAGCAAATTATGATCCTAGCTATTTAAAGCATAGACTTAGAAAATAACATAGAAAGAAAAAAAATTCAGCAAGAAACTATAAAGGAGAAAAAGTAAAATACCAGAAAGCTGTGAAATTGGAGAAGCTAGAAGTGGTCGCCATGGAAGCAATTGATCCAGCTGCAAAAATACACTGTGCAATCCTTAAAAACAGGCTAGTTAAAGTCCCTGGACTTCCAGGAAATACCCTCATTTTTTTTCGACGACCAAATCCAACGAAAACTCTTCTATCAAATCTCGATAGATCATCTAAACACAATACAAACCATAACAAAAGAAAAAAAAGCTTTTATTAAGAAAAATTTAAAAGACCCACAAACTGAAATTGGATGATTTGATGAAAATCTTTCACAGGGGTACATTACTTATGGATTAAACTATGGAATTTGCAGAAGCCAGAGAATAAAAAAGACAAAAGAAAGAGAAGGATGAACAAGTGGAACAAGAAAGCAAATAAAAAAAGGAATTAATTTATGTAATTAAAAAAAGAAAAAAAACTGGTTTATTGACAATAATGTTATTGCCATACAAAATTTTTCCACTTTTAATGTTGTTCTATGTAATTGGATTTTTTTTTTAAATGTCAAAAGTAAAAGGATAAGGCAATGCTTTACTAATATAGTCACACTTTATTTTTAAAGCAATTATTTGAAACTTTTTTTTTTTATTCTTAACTATGGTAAAAACACTCTTTTTTTTTTTTTTTTTTTTCATTTCATTGTTGCTTTTGCAATTTATATTTTGTTTTTATTTCATGAATATTCCAGGTTAATTTTATTTTTTAGTTAAGTAATTATTTTTTTAATAATTCAAATATTTTCATTAGGCTAATTACTTGCCACTAATGAGAGCTTGCTAGCCTAAATCCTAATGTTACATATTAAGCTATTAACAACCTTTACAAAAAGCCATTTTTTATTAAACATTAATTATATATATATTTAGTTTCATATAGACTCATTATGTGAAAGAATTATTGGCTAATCTTAATTTTAGTAACCCACTAATGGATACTGTAAGTCCAAACTCTTTAATAACTAAAAATCTAAGATGTATTAATGCATGATTCTCCACTCTTTGGGTAGAGTGGTAATAGGTTGAAATTCAGTTTTTTCTCAAATTAAAAAAAACCTAAAATAATTTCATAAATCCCTTTTTAAAGGTAAAAAACGCACCAAGACAATAATTCATATCTTATTGAATCCTTTTGCACACAACTAAGGCCTCATTTGGATTGAGAAGCAGCAATGTAAGACTTTAATCGCATCATTTATCTGTTTAGATAACATTATTTTATCACCGTTTGGTATTTTCATCGCATTTTATCATTAGTTAGAGACTGGACTAGGGCTGTAAACGAGCCGAGCCGAGCCGAGTAGTGAGAAGCTCGAGCTCGAGCTCGACTCACAACTCCGGGCTCGATACTCGGCTCGAGCTCGATCGAGTTTTATTTTTCAAGCTCGAGCTCGATTCGTGATCGAATTCGAGCTACTCGAGCTCGCTCGATTAAGCTCGATTAATATGTAAAAATAAGCTCGATTCGTATACTCGACAAGAGTTCGATTATTCATGCTCGAACTCGAACTCGAACTCGGATTCGAAATATTTTATTAATTAAAAAAAATAAAAATATATTTAAATATAAAAGCTCGATTAGGCTCGCGAGCTACTCGAGTCAGATATAAGAATACTCGAATTCGGCTCGATCGGTAAGTCGAGCTACTCGAGCTCGAGCTCGACTCGACAATAATCGAACCGAATTCGAGTTTTTTTCGAATCGAACCCGAGTAGCTTGCGAGTACTAATGTATCATTTACACCCCTAGACTGGACCCATGATGGCCCACTGAAATTCCAGCGTAATTTTTTTTTTCCATTTTAATCCTTCTCCCTTTCTTTTTTTTTTTTTTTTCACACTTCTTCATTTCTTTTTTTTTTTTTTAATTTTTTATGTAAGTTTCCAACAGCTTTTTTCTTACAAAGTCAAAATTTTAATTATTTATTAATAAAATTATTATTTGATACAAAATAGTTTAATTTTTTAAATTATTTATTAATTTATAAATATTAAATAATTTAAAATTTTTATTACTTATAAATTTAAATATAATATTTTTAATAATTATTTATAATTTATTTCATCGTTATCGTTACATTTAAATTCAAACGTATATTTAATTATTAATTTTAATTTTATTATTATAATTTTAATCTTATCACTATAATAATTAATATTATATTATTAATTTTATCAAAATCAATCTCATTATTTTTCTAAATGAATCCTAACTTTGGTTCACCGGTTATTTACCGTGGTTGGCTGGTTGCTTTGCCTTCATATATTCTGGGCCACAAATTATTTTAAAAACATCTAATAATCGAAATTGTGAGCTGTAAGATTCGGCTAGAAAATGTTAAAGTTAAACTCATAATATATATAGTAAATTAATGCGAAGAAAAAAAAACATGTCTACCGGCATGAGGTGGGCAATTCATTGGGTTCAACATGATCAGAAGTGGGCATGGAAACGGACAACGTGTCTCTCCAGTCAGCTCTATTTGACTGAAACAAATCATAGTTACGGTTAAATCTCACTCTTCTAGCTCGATCACGCGAGTAGAACTCTTTCTTTTCATCAAGATCTCGTTCACTAAACTTTCTTACCCCATCTATTATATTGTTCAATACACTGGGTGGCAACCCATGGTTCACCACTTGGAAAAAGCCCCGTTCCTATGTGTATACACTCAATTTAATTTAGGTTCAAATTAATTAGCTTGATTTAAATGGATAAAATAAGCTCATATTATTTTATTTTATTTATTTATTATTTTTTTCTCATTTATTATTTGTTTTTATTATTATTTATTATTATTATTATTATTATTATTTATTTTATTATTATTATTATCATTTTTTTATTTTATCATTTTTTATTAATTATGAGATAATGATCAGATTAATTAAAAAATATTAAAAAAATGATAAAAGTGGATTTGATCGAAAATTTAGGAGCTGATAGAGTTGAGATTGAATTCAAAGATTGAATCTCAATCTCAGATAGAATTGAGATTGATTAGAAACTTTTTTGATCAATTTTTATAAATAAAGGTCGGAATATACAGAAAAGGGATTGGAAAAAAAAGATAGAGAGAAAACAAAAGTAAAAATAGTGTTTAGAGGCAGTTTAGAATTTTTAAGAAATTTTTTTCGAATTTTTGACATTTTTGTTTTGAAAAATTTTGAAAATTTTAGATTCCAAGTAATTTTCTGACGACATTCAAGTTTTCCGACGAATAGTCAAACGAAAAACTCAATTACCGCGTGTTTTTCAGATTTTGATAGAACATTTAAACGGAATTTGGGTTCTGTTTAGAGAGGAGGAGAAAAAAAAGGGAAAAAGAGAGAAGAAGGAAGACGCATCTGTTGAAAGGTTGAGTTTTTAGCGTTATATATCTTGTTGAAACGACGTTGTTTTGGCGTTAGTAAACCCACAAGATTCACGCATTTTACCAAGATTCGACCCGACTCGTAGCACACCCGAACCAGCGACTCATTTCTCCGCCTGGGTTCCAATCGAGCCAAGTCGAGCCGTTCCTGTCGAGCCGCATATTTGAACCGCTTCTGTCTTTCAAGCCGAGCCGAGCAATTCTAATGTTTTTTTTTTAAATTTATTTATTTATTTATTATTGTTATTATTATTATTATTGTTATTTTTGAATTAGAATTATTTGGTATTTCTTAATTTAATTTAATTTAATTTATTTTAATTTCTTTTTTTTAATGATTTTTATAAAATAAAAATTTCAAAAAATATATTTTTAAGGAAAAATTGAAAGTATCAATTTTTCTTAAAAATAAAGTTTCTAAAATAAAAAATTTCCAAAAGCATTTTGTGGGAAAGCTAAAAGTATCAATTTTCCTGAAAATAAAAAGTTTTAAAAAATATTTTTACGAAAAAATGGAAAGTATCAATTTTTCTTAAAAATAAAATTTCTAAAATAAAAAATTTTCAAAAACATTTTGGGGGGAAAGTTGAAAGTATCAATTTCTCTGAAAATAAAAATTTTAAAAAATATTCTTAGTAAAAAGTTAAAAGTATTAATTTTTCGTAAAAAATAAAACTTTTAAAATAAAAATTTTCAATTGCTTTTAAGAAAAAGTTGAAAGTATTAATTTTTTTTGTATAGAAACAATAAATTTTTTAAAAATGAAAAGGAAAAGATTTATATCAAAAGGTAAATCATTATTCTTTTTTATTATTTTATTTTATTTATTTTTTGTAATTTTTTTAATGTTAAATAATCCGATGATGGAGTCTCCGCAAGTGAAACAGTAGTTTTCTTGCATACTCTTGAGGTGAAAGGATTTTTTTTAATTCTCTGCCAAAAGTATTGGAATCAATTAAGAATAATTTTTAATAATTAATTACTTAGTAAATTTTTTAGGCTTAATATAGATAACACGAAATAAAGTTGAGACCATTCTTCGATGGGCATTGTGAGGATGCTATAACCTTCCTAACTCGTAATCGAATTCTCGAACTCCGTTTTGGTTGATAGACCCGAACTTATTTTTTTAAAGACCTTTAGTTAAGCTTAAATATTCTTTAAAATGATAGATTTTTTAGGTGATCAATCACACTTAAATAAAAAATATTGATAACGATTCTTTAAAGTTAATATCTAAAGACATATCTCCATATCTAAACGTTACGTCACTCTGATGCAATTTTGATTTGATCAACAATCTTCCTGTGATGATCATTTAAAAGACCATCAAGGTCTATGACAGGAAGTCTAATGTGAGTCCGGGTATGATCCAAATCCTCAGCAAGCTCGTTGGCTGATCTTAGGAACATTTTAGGAATGTTCACTACCCAGAATCCACAAGTCCTTTCACACCGAGTTTTGTGCATCGAAAGCCTTAAGTTCTTTCATTCTGTCACAATCTGATTCAACTTTTCCATTGCCTATGATCTCCATCAGATCTCCTGTCTTCCTCTCTTTTCAAGAAGTGGCGGTATGACTACGAGTACCCCCTGATATTGATATGTATGACATGCTACTCGGAAACTTGTTTTGTTCTTGAACTGAATAGATAGTTCCAATATTTTAATCCAAGAAATTACGTGATTCGATGAAATTAATAACTGTTTATTACTAATTATTCAATAGGCAGCATGCAATCATCCAATGAAAGAAATAAAAACATATGCAAAGTCCAGAATTCACATCGACCCCCAGAACTAGACAAGAAGTCCCTGGATCAGACAAAAGTTCCTGTCTTTCCAAGCCTTAAACCCAACTACTGTAAAGATAAACTAATAATCCTTCGACATGGCCGCCCTAGAAACATGAATATTCATATATTGTTGGGTCTAGAATCCAGGAGTTCCTTCACAATGTTTTTGTACTGAAATTCAGGAATCCAGACACCGGCTATTGTGGGCCTGATCCGGAAAATATTATCTTTTTTCTGGTCTCTGAACTGCGAAGTTTGCTGCTCTCTGGGTGAAGGTTTATGGCATTTTGCATATACATTACTCGCTGCCATGTAATTTAAGCATTGGGCTCAGAGAGAGTAGAATGGGAAGAAAATTTATCGATGCTGTATTGTGATTAGCCACTTAACATCCAACTATAAAAGACAAGTTGCGACAAATAAATACATGGATGGAAGAATAGACGATGCAAGCTTTAGCATTCTTTAACAAGGCCAAGTGGCCACGTGCAGTGTGATTCAGATTAGCGGAGACAAGGATTCTTTATTATTTGACGAAAACAATGTTAGAAATCAAATCCAGTTTCACTTCGTGTCCTTGGAGCTATCAACTAACCACCTAGTCTAGGTGTTAAAAATTTACAGGGAAAAACAAGAGTCTACCTTCTTTTTTCTTTTTTTTTTTTTTAAAGGATTGGGTTAGAGCTACAAAAGGGGTCTATTTCAGTTAATTGTAGTTTCTGATAAGGTTAAATTTGGAGTTTGAGCAGAAAAGTGAGGCATACAGATGATTATGGATCATTTGTGGTTTCTAAAACATTAAATATGTTTAATTTAGATTTAGCAATGTGAGATTGATCATTTTTAAGGTCTTAAATTAAATTTGTTTCCCTGCAATGGGCTTGTCACACCTCAAACTTAAGAATTGAGGACATAACAACACCACAATGTCATAAACATGCAAGATTACAAATATTTTACCAAACCGAAAATAAAAAATCTCCAGCAAATCTGATATAGAAATATTCACATTTTAAAACTATAGCATACTAAGGACAAATGTTAATCTCGTTAATTAATTAGTTGTCAAATATGAATTTACAAAGTTGTAGTGGTACTTTATGTGCATATTAAAATTTGATTTATATTTGATATATTATCAATGTATAAATTCTATATCCCATCAATAAATTAAAGGATATTTTCTCATTAATGAAATCAATCAGATGATGCATTTCATTAATGAGTAAATTTTTAAAAAGATTATTAATTTTTGTACATTTATTTTAAGGACTGATATTTACTTATTAATAAAGTAATATCATTCGATTTATTGATAGTATATAAAATTTATACATTGATAATATATCAAATATAAACTATTAATAACATAACAACTTATTATTGTTTAACATCGGCATATTTTATCAAAATAAAAAACTTTTGTACTAATAAAAAATAGCTTTTACACAATTTTGACATTGATTATATATATATATATATATATATATATATACTTATTTGGATAAAAATAAATTTGTGAATAAATTAAAGTAACTAACAATTTCTTATATTAAAGAATGGCAAAATTTTAGTTTTTTCCAAGCACCTCAACTAAAATATGTAACCCATTGGGTTGTTTAAGAAATCTTTCATCTAACTCTATTATAACTTTTAAAACATGATGTAAATGACGATTAGTCGTTTCTTTTAAACGTCTAAACCAAAATTATATCTTTTTATTTTTTGCAAGATATGACAATATATAAAGAGTTTTAGCAACTTATTTTTTCATTATAATTCGTTGGTTGTAGACCAAGATATCTTTCTAGCATTGCACATAAATCTAAAAAAAACATAACCTTATGTCCCATTCTTACAATAACCCAAATTTTGTCACTACTATTCATTTGACTCGTTACTTCATCTCTAACCCTATTTCATTTTTGACACGTACAATAATCAATAACTTTTCTTTGTGATCATTTTTTATATACGTACAAATAAACATCTAAAGATAAAATGTAGACAATTACCTTTGACATCTTTCTTTCATAAATATTCAATCATTGACTCATTTCGTTTTTTATCCATCTATAATAACAAATGTTTAATAATATTAATAAAAATTAAATACAAAATTACAACAATGAAACAAAACTCACAATTCCAAAATCAGATTAGGCTTTGCTTTGCAACATTAAGATTATCAATCCCAAGGGGGAATGACTCCAAGTGGGAAGGAAAGAACAAAAAAATGAATGGAAGGAGCTTTTAAAAGAAAGATGTTTCTTTGGATACAAAATTACCAAAATCCTTTCTTTTTGTTGAGTTCTTTAAACAATTATTTACTTAGTAGCTCCTAATACAAATTATTTTTTTTTGCAAACGTATCAAAAATCCCAAATTCATTACAAGGCTATAATAAAATTAAAAAAAATTGAATAATTAATTACACAGTACAAAACTTCATTTCTTGACACAATATAAGAAGAAAAAAAATCAATAAAAAAATTAGATGGACAAACAAATGGAAGAAAAAGTGGTGATCGGACAAATACATTTCTACTAATATTACTGTAGAATATATATAGGATAAATTTCATTGTAAGCACTCATCTTATACTTAAATCCCATTTGGGTCACTAAACTTTAATTTGTCTCGTCCAAATCATTAAAGTTTATTAAGTATATCAAAATTAATCACTCTAATATATTCCATCCAAATTTTGGTAGTAAAAAGACATAGTTGCCACGCAATCAACTATACACATCAGTTAACTAAATTCATATGATTTTATAAAAAATCATTAAACTTTCACCTAGTTTCCAAATAAGCTACCAAACTTTAATTTATCAATACAAAATCATTAAAATTTATTAAGTATATCAAATTTGATCATTTTAATCAATTTCATTCAAAATAAAAGTTAGATAAAATTTAAATATCGAACTCAACCAAACAACATCTAAACTTTCTATATAATAAAAAATTTTCTTATACTCAATAGAAAAGAAAAAAAAAAGAATTAAGTAAACTCAGAGCAAATAGACATTTAATAAATATTTGTTTTTCTTAAAGTATTACTGCTTTTATTTAAATTAAAGAATATAAATATTTAAATAAAAAAGTCCTTACAATTTAATTAAAGTATTAAATGTAAAATTTTAATTGTCAATTTAATTAAATATTTTTTGTTATTAAAAATAATACTTTAATTAAATTATAAATATTTTTTTATTTAAATATTTATACTCTTTAATTTAAATAAAAGTAGTAATACTTTAGAAAAACAAATATTTATTAACAAATATTTATTACAAGTATGTTTTCTTTGGATATACTTTTTTTATTTTTATTTTCTGTGGGATATAAGAGGCTTTTTGGTTATTAAAAAATCTAAATGTTATTTGGTTGAGTTTAATATTTAGATTTTATTTAATTTTTATTTTAGGATGAAATTTATTTATTTATTTTTGTCCAAAGATGAATTTATTACAATGATCAAACTTGCTATATTTAAAAAATTTTAGTGACCTTGTAGTGACAAATTAAAGTTCAATTATTTATTTAAAAATTGAATAGAAATTTAATAACTTTTCATGAAATTATATTAATTTAATTAATTGATGTGGCAAATAATATGAAAGATGATGTGGCACCCATGTTAGAGTATCTTAGTGACTAATTTTGATATATTTAACAAATTTTAGTGATTTGAATAACATAAATTAAAATTCAATGACCCAAATAAGATTTTGATATAAGTTAGGTGACTTATGATGAAATTTACCCCATATATATAATAAAAAGAGGGATCACGAAGAGAAGTTAACACGATCTCTACTCGTTAATTAAAATATATTATTATAACAATTTTCTCACACTTTGTTGTCTGTTTTTGAAATTCCAAACCTATACAACTTATTATTTAATTCTTTATGAATTATTACTTTGAGAAGCACAAAAACTACAATAATAAAAACAAAAAGTTCTTGGGAAAATAAATAATAAATAAATTACGACTACTACATTGAGTATATGTAAAAAATTAAAAATAATTAAAAATAATACAAATTGCAATCAGAAAAATCCAGAAGGGTAGATGGTAAAGAAAAAAGTTTACTAATAAGCAATAGATATTCTTCTTCATATGTCTGTGAACGGCAACTTTCTTTTTTTATTGTAAGTGGTTAGGTCAGTAAAAAAAGAAATACCATGAGAAAATATAAGAAGGTTATATTAGACATTTTACATATAATTTTTTTCCTTTATTAAGTTTTAAAATTTTTCCAAACAGGGAATGATTTCCTTTTTCCCTTGCTTTCGTTACCTTTCCTTTTCTTTCCTTCATTTTGTAAAATCCAAACATAGTGTAAGGGATAGTTATCTTGACACCTGTTTAGTTTAGATAATTATCATTTTACCCTTTCCCTTTTAATATTATAAAGTTATTAATTTATCTTCTAATTAAATAAAAGATAAATTAAAATATAGATAATAAAACATCAAATTATAAGAAAATTTTAAAAAAATCATATTTACTGGAAAAAACAAGATCTACAAAAAAAAAAAAAAGATTTGCATATTTTTTTTAGGATCAAATTCAACAATAAAAAAATCAATCCCTCCGCGATCAAACCTACACCGATTCGAATACTAAAAAAAACAAAAGAAGAAAAAAATAAAAAAATAGCAACATCACAGCAAGAGAAAGCCACACAAAGCGCACAATAAAAACACGGAAAATTACCAAAAAGGGTTTCGGTTTGAGGTTTTCTAAAAGGTTTTAGAGCACCTAATTTGGTAATAAGAGAGACGGGGATTACAAAAAGAGCATAGTAAGAGTTGGAGGCATTTTGAACGATGGAAATGTGTTTTTTAAGGAGGAAAGTTGCTGATTTTAGGTCAAGATCTAGGAAAAATCTATTGGGCTTTTAGAAAAACTAGCTGGTGAAGTGGAAAGAGGATGAAAAGAGAGATTTTGATGGCTTTTGGTGAGAGACCGACACTGATGAGTAGTGGCCAATGACAGACGACGTGGTGGCGACAGCGAAATTTACCAGAATCTGGGTTTATTATGAACTCCCGTTGTGTTGCCAGAAGAAAGGAGGAAAGTTTTTGTGTTTAGAGAGAGAAAAAAAGGTGAAAATGAAAAAAAAAAGGTTATTTATAAGGTGCAAACTGCACCATTTAGTTCCCAAGAAGTAAAGGTGGATGAACTTGCACCCAATTCACCAAGGAAACCTTGAGCAACTTCTATAGGGGTCGCAGAATTGTGAAACAGATGAAGAATAAAAAGAAGGGCCCTATTGATAAAGGAAATAATAAGGTAATAAAGGCAGATCAGATTGCCTTAAAAGGCACGTCTTCCTCCTCATCTTTGTGAAGATAATGAGTTAGAATGTTAGAAGGCTTAACGCCCCTCTGAAGCAAAAGGAGGTAATGGTGAGGATTAGAAGGTTGAAAGTTAAAGTGGCTTGTTTGTTGGAACTAGATTAAAGTAGAATAATATATAGCAAGTGGTACGTACTTATTTTGCACGATGGTCCAATTTTCATAATTACTCATATGCCTATAATGGTAGAATTTGTTTGATGTGAAAGTTTGAACTAAAAGTGGACTTGGTGGAAGCAATAGATCAAAGCATAACGTGTAGTGTGCCATACGGTACTTAGAAGGTTTATCCTTCAGCTATATATGGAAACGATAATGAAGGTAAAAGAAAAAAGTTATGGGCACACTTGCTGTTGCTACAAAGCATGATAGCTAGTTGGCCATGGATCTTGGTTGGTGATTTTAATATTGTAGGTCATCCTACAGAAAGCTTAGATTATAATGGTTCTCTAGTAGCTGGATCAAGTGTAATTGACTTTCAAGAATGCTTGAATAAACTGGCTATCATGGATCATCCTTTCACAGGACCCTTATTCACATGGAGTAATCATACTATTTTCAGGAAACTTGATAAAGTTTTAATAAATGAATCTTGGCTTAATTGTCTAATTCATATGTGGAGTTTCTACCACCATAATTATTTGCTCATTGCTTAACCATGATCAATATAAATCTGTCGAAGCAGTCTTTGCCAGCCATTTAAGTTTTTCAATTTCTGGACAAAGCACCGGGATTTTCTGAGGCTAGTTAATGAATCCTAGAAGGCACCAGTAAATGGTAAGCCAATGGCCATTTTGTACAAAAAGCTAAAACGGTTGAAGATAGTCCTAAAGAACTTCAATTTTTTGTAATATGGAGCTATCGGGGAAAAAGTCAAAGTAAAGAGAGAGGAGTTAGCATCAATGCAAGTAGCAAATTTAATCAATTCAGCTATAGCAAATGCTGAAAAACATAAAGGCACTTTCACTGGAACTGCAAGAATTACTCAAAGTAGAAGAAAGGTCCAGAATCAGGTCGATACAGGAGAGGATCAAAACACGGGGTTTTTTCATAAAATAATGGCTGTTAAACAAAAGAAAGAGACCATAAAATACTATATGATAGTACAGGCAATCAGCTAGAAGCATTTACATTGATTACAAATGAGGCAGTGGAATTCTTTAAAAAGTTGTTGGGTGTAGTTGACAGAGAGGTGGAAAGGATGTTCTCAGGAGATGCTAGCTAGCATACTTCAAGTCTCTCTAACTAATGAGCAACAATCTATGTTATCACAGAATGTCACTGAAGAAGAAATACGTAAGGCCATATTCTTGCAAAGTAGTGAGAAAGCACCAGGGCTTGTTGGGAACAATGCTCATTTCTTTAAAATTACTTGGATCATAGTCGAAAAAGATGTCATTGTAGCTATAACAATTTTTTTTCAGCATGGTGAAATGTTTCCTGTGTTCAACTCAACAGCAATTGCTTTGGTGCCTAAAAGCCAGTCTTTAACCAGCATCTTAGAATTCAGACCAATATCATGTTGTTTAGTTATCTACAAGGCCATCACTAGAATCCTTACTAACAGGATGCAGTAGGTGTTGTCAACTCTAATTAGCAACAGTCAGAGTGCCTTCATGAAAGGGAGAAGTATAACTAACAATGTTTTAATGGCATAAGAGTTGATAAGAGGATATGGTAAAACCACTATTTCATCTAGATGTGCTATAAAAATTGATCTGAAGAAAGCCTTTAACTTTGTGAATTGGGCATTCTTGATTTCAGTTCTAGAGACAGTGGGGTTTCCCAAGAAGTTTGTTGACTAGGTAAAGAGCTGCCTCACTAGACCAAAGTACTTGTTGTCCATTAATGGTGGCTTAGTTAGGTATTTTGAGGGAGTGAGAGGAGTCAGGTAACAGGACCCAATGTCTTCTTACTTGTTTGTCATTGTAATGAATGTGCTATCTAGACTTTGGATCTCGCTATTGCTCATGGTGTTCTCTCCCACCCCCCAAAGTGTAAAAAGGTTGGATTGACACATTTAAGTTTCACTGATGACCTATTTATCTTCACAAAAGGGAATCTGGACTCTATAATCGGCATCCAAAACATACTAAAACTATTTTTCTGAAAGGGTCGGATAGGCATAATAAAGGGGCCCGTGTAGACTGGCAAGTTATCTGCAGATCGAAGTTTGAAGGAGGGCTAGGTTTAAAGGACGTAGAAAGTTAAAATCGAGCTTGTGTTTTTAAGCTTCTCTGGTCCATCTACATACAGGTTGGATCGCTATGGATAGCATGGATAAGAAGCTATATGCTTAAGGGGCGTAGCAAATGGGAGATTTTTATTAAGCCAAGCTACAGATGGGGCGTGAATGAATTGCTCAAGCAGAGGAGTGTCGCTTCCAGATTTCTGATGTAGTCAGAAAATGGGGTTGTATGGAGGTTAAGTGATACGAGCTACTCTGCTGCAAGAGTATAAGAAGAGATAAGAGTTAAGCAACTGAAGGTCAATTGGCATAAACTTCTTTGGTGTACGTTGCGTATTCCTAAACATGCCATAATAGCTTGGCCGGCTATTCTTAATAGGCTTCCTACTAAAGACAGGCTGAAATCATGGGGAATGACAGTGGATGAGGATTGTGTATCGTGTAAGTTAGAGAAAGAGAGCAGGAATCATATTTTTATCAGTTGCACATACTCGAAGGCAATCTAGAAACAGATATTGCAACTATATAATTTGTGCAGGGACGTGGATGATTAGGAAAGTGAGTTCCAGTGGGCAGTGAGGAGGCTAAAAGGAAATGCATTGTTTCTGTAATACTACAAATAGCATGGGGAGCTTATATATATATGATATGCGTGGAAAGAAACAGAAGACTCTACAACTCAGAAGGATGCACAGAGGAGCAGCTAATAAGATAGAAAAAAGATGCAGTAAGGTTTAGACTGATAGGAGTAAAGAATGTAGCACAGGATCATGCAAATCAAATACTGTCTGACAGACGGGAATTGAGTAGAGATATGCTTGTAGAGTAATTACTTAACATTGTTGTGATTGCTTGTAGTAGTTTTACTACTTCTTGGATAATAGATATATTACTTATCCAAAAAAAATGCACCATTTAGGGGATGGCTGAAAAGAAAGAAAAAAAGGACAAAAAAAAAAAAAAAAAAAGAACCCGCAGCTCAGTAGAGTTGTTCATGAGCCGATCTAAGCCTAGGTCATCTTAAAATTTCAAGCTTTAAAATTTTTTCAAGTTCAGTCCAAATTAAAAAAAAAAATTTCAAGTTAATCTATTAAACTTAATTTATATAATAAAAAATTAAAAAAATATGATTAAATTAAGTTTAATGAGATTATATTTAATTTACATCTATATAAAAATTAAAAATAAAATATAATAAAAAATATATAATTTTTATTTTTAATTTATATAATTTTGAATTAATTTATATATAATTCATAAATATATAAAAAAAAAATTATATATATATATATATATATATATATATATATATATGAATTTGAGTTGGGCTAAGCTAAAGTTTGAAATTTTTTATTTAAGGCTCGGCTTAAAATTTAAATGAACTTAAAAATTAAGTTCAAATTTATTATTTAACGAGTTTTAATTTTTTATTCATATCTTCTCAAAACTTGAACAAATTTTTAGATTTGGATGTTTGCAGCTCAATCAACAATTAAGCTCCCTACTTAAGTACCCTATACTTGACCTGTTGAGCTTAATTGGATTGGAAGCTGATGTGGTTTTTTAACCTCTTGGACTAGACTTGAGCCCATTATAATTTGGAACTCTTACTCTTTCATTCTGGATTTGAGCTTTAAATTTTAGTTCAAAATAATTGTTTCTCATTTTATTTAATATATTGTTATATGTAATATTTATTTAGTACTAATTGAATTCTTGAAAATAAATATGTGTATGGATAATAGAGATTATTTGGACTAAACAACAACAATTTAAATATTTGGTAACTTATATTTTTTTATTATTTGTTTATTTAATTAATTTTTAATTTGGTATATAACACATTTAAGAATTAAATTGTAAGAATAAAAATTATTAATTTGTAAAAAAAAGATTAAAAATAATTAAATAAATTAAATAATTAAAAACAATCATTTAAGAAATATAACATAATAATTTTTTGAATAATTAGATAATTAAATAAAAAATTATTAAATAAATTTTGATTTCAAATAATTAAAATAACTGAGAAAATATGATATGTTATTTATTAATTATTATATTTTTATTAAAAAGTCAAAATCAAATAGAAAATGAGCTAAATAATTATACTTTTCATTAAAATAAAATATTAAAAAATTTATATTTTAAAATAAAAATATTTAATCTCAATGTAACGAGATTCAAACTAGTTTATACACCTTTATATAAAAAGTATCCCTTAAGGGATTTTTGCTTGCCACATGTTTTTTTTTTTTTTTTGGTTCTTTTGCAATGCTTTGTTGCTTTTGTGAAGCTAGGTGGGATGAAACCATGGAGCAGAAGCTTTTTTCATTACTTATAGGTATTTTCTTATACTATTTTATGTTTGACAGTTGTGTTTGACTTAAATAATTGAGTTTAAACTTGAATTTTGAAACTTTTGTTTTTGGGTTTTTATCGTTATTTTCAAAGCTGTTGTAGAAAGTTTAATTGTCACGAGAAAGAGAGGTTTTTTGTGGTTCGTGATTGTTGGTTTTTTTTGTTTTTCTTTTTTTTTCCTAGTAATTTTGGGTAAAATTTGTTGTCGTTTTTTTATTATTTAATTGAACGTGGGTTTTTTCTTTTATTTTTTTTAAGGTGATTTTTATGTTAGACATTTTTATGTTGAATAGGGTTTGGGTTTTGTGGTTTTTAGAGTTGCATGTTGCTCTAAATGTGGTTTTTTTTTAATAATTTCTCTTTGCATGCCTTTTGTTTTTGGTTTTCATTATTGTTTTAGAGTTGCTCATAAATGTTGGAGCTATGGCACCGTTGATTTACGATGTTGTAAAGTGAGTTAGTCCCCTGTAATAGAAAAAGAAAGTAAGAGGAAGAAGGTCTGAAAATGAAGGATGACTCCTTACAAAAATCCCTAAAATAGTTGAAAAGTTTGTAAAAAAGAACATAAGCCATGAGCTGGAGGCATTGACTCTAGAAGGACTGTAGATTCTCTATAGCCAAAAGGGTTTCATACGCTATAATTTCGTTGTACCCAATCGTGCATTAGTAAATAAATATGATCAATCTCTTTCAATTATGTTGCTAGATTCATTTTGTTTTAGCCAGAAGGCAAAATAAAATAATATTGTAACTTATATATATAAATATATTTTTATCCGTAGGATGCAGATGAGAATTGGCACGTTGGAGCCATGACCAAGTTGATTGACGACGTTGGGGCTACTATTATTTACTTTGTTCCTAACCATGTTAAAGCCTTCCTTGATTTTGACATTTTGTTTCATTCGACTGCTAAGATTCAAGTTAGTTTTCTCATGTGGTAAATCTTAAGCTATTTTCCTTTGGTTATGATTTAAAAATAGGATAAGTGTTAATAGCATGAAGAAGCGAAAATAAAGGCAAAGGTTATAAGGTAGAAGAGAAAGCTTACATAAGTGGTGGTAGAGGTCAAAAGGAAAGGAGATGGCGAGCTAATTGCTTTGGGTTAACAATGGATGGCCTCAAATAAAGATAGTATGAAGGCAAGTCAAGTGAGTAAACTTTGAGACTTGCTCTTTCCCTATTCTTTACATGTACTGATTTTGTAGCTTTTGTGCATTTGAAGGCATTCAAATGAGTAAACAGCTTGTCAATTAAGTTATTTTTTATGGGTTTTTGTTTAAATTGATGAATAATTAACATTTGAATTATTCAGTTTTAAATATTCAAAATTGAAATAGATAATGCATACATATTAGCTTGAATTTTTTTTTGCATTATTCATGGTCTTTGGTGCTATATTGTTCTTAACATTGATTTTTAATGTTTCAATTACAATAAATAAGGCGTTTGAGAAAGTGCCAAGCTATGAGTTGGTGCCAACCATGATGCAATACTTGAAGAGTAACTATCACATGACCATTATTATAGGATAGAATATTATCAACCTTTGGCTAGCTTTTGACAAATTTGCACCTATTTTGGATGCTTTCTTCGCTAAGTCTTACATGGGTTGTTTCATTACTATTGGCTTGGGTTTAATTTATAGCTTTCTCGCAATTGGCTCTTTTTTGACTATAACATTAGCTGCAGTTTTAATTTTTACTATTTAAGATAGTTGTTATAACATTATTTTCTATTTAGCTTTATATTAACCTTCTACACCCTTATGTAAAATGTATCCTTTAAGGGATTTTTTCTTTCCATGTGTTTTTTTTTTTTTTTTGTTCTTTTGCAATGCTTTGTCATTTTTGTGAGGCCAAGTGGGATGAGACCATAGAGCAGAAGCTTTTTTCTTTGCTTACAGGTATATACTTATGCTATTTTATATTTGACAGTTGTGTTTGACTTCAACAACTATGTTTAAACTTGAATTTCAAAGCCTTTATTTTTGGGTTTTCATTGCTATTTCAAAGCTATTGCAGAAAGTCTAACTGTCACGTGAAAGAGAATTTTTTATAATCTGTGATTGTTTTTTTTTTTTTGTTTTTCTTTATTTTTTTCCTTTATTGATTTTGTGTAAAATCTATCATTGTTTTTTTGTTGTTTAATTGAATATGGGTTTGTTTAGTTTTTTGTTTTTTTTTTTTTAAGTTTTCTTAAGGTGATTTTCATGTTAGGCATTTATATGTTAAATGGGATTTAGGTTTTGTGGTTTTCAAGAATGCATTTTTTTTAATTTCTCTTTGCATGTCTTTTGTTTTTGGGTTTTCATTGCTATTTCAAAGTTGCTCATAAATGTTAGAGCCATGGCACTATTGATTAATGACAATGTAAAATGAGTCAGTCCCTTGTAACAGAAGGGGAAAGCAAAAGGAAAAGGGTTTGAAAATGGAGGATGGCTCCTTACAAAAATCCATGAAATAGTTAAAAGGTCTATCAAAAGGAACCATAAGCCACAAGCTGGAGGCATTTACTCTAGAAGGATTGCAGATTTTTCATGGCCAAAAAGGTTTCATACATTGAAATTTCGTTGTACCTAGTTGTGCATCAATAAATAAATCTGATCAATCTCCTACAATTATATTGTTATCTTTATTCTATTTTAGCCAAAAGGCAAAATAAAATAATATTGTAACTTATATATATCTTTATTTGTAGGTTGCAGACAGGAATTGGCAAGCTAGAGCCATGGCCACGTTGATTGACGGTGTTGAGCTGCTGTTATTTACTCCATTGTTGACCATGTCAAAGCCACCCTTGATTTTTGACATTTCATTTCATTTGACTACCAAGATTCAAGTTAGTTTTCTGATGTGATAAATCTTAAGCTCCTTTCCTTTAGTTATGGTTTAAAAATAGGATAAATTTTAATGGCAGAAGGAAGTGGAGATAAAGGCAAAGGTAATAGGGCAAAAGAGAAAGCTTATACAAGTGGTGGTGGAGGTCAAAAGAAAAGGAAACAGTGAGCTAATTGCTTTGGGTAAATAGTGAATGGCCTAAAATAAAGATAGTATGAAGGCAAGCCAAGTGAGTAAGCTTTGAAACTTGCTCTTTCCTTGTTCTTTACATGTATTGATTTTGCAACTTTTGATCATTTGAAGGCATTCAATGAGCAAACAGCTTGCCAATTGAGTTGTTTTTTTATATGGGTTTTGGTTTAAATTGATGAATAACTAACATTTGTATTATTCAATTTTAAATGATTCAGAATTGAAAGAGATAATGTATATATATTAGCTTGAATGTTTTTTTGCATTATTAATGGTCTTTGGTGCTATATTGTTCTTAACATTGATTTTGAATGTTTCAATTATAGCAAATGAGGTGCTTGAAAAGGTGCCAAGCTATGTGTTGGTGCCAACCATGATGCTCTACTTGAAGAGTAACTATCACATGATCATTGCCGCAAGACACAATCTTATCAACCTTTGGCAAGCTTTTAGTAATTTTGCACCTATTTTCGATGCTTTCTTTGCTAATTCTTATATGGAGCGTTTGTTACCATTGACTTAGATTCAATTTTCAGCTTCCTGGTAATTGGCATCAACTGCAGTTTTGATTTTTAATGTTTTATGATAGTTATTATAATGTTATTTTCTATTTAACTTTATATTAACCTTCTGTTTCCAATTATTTTAACAGATCTTTCTACACTTAACAATACTAAATTTATATTAAATTGTTTTAAATAAATAAAATAGTACAAATTAATTTAACGCATCAGGCGTCGGAGTCCCTCACTAGTATTCATAAAAAATATCTCCAACAGCGGACAGCTGAACTTCTGGTAATAATGTAAAATCGTTCGGCTTTGTTTGATTACTCACAAATGATTATTCAAATAACATATTATCAATTATTTTAGCATTTTCTTATATGATATCTAGAGACAATACATTAAAGACAAAAGCCAAGATTATTAAACAGGAGTTGAAAACAATAAACAAAATGTCTGGAATCAGATGCCAAGTTAAGTTGTTCACCACAAACACAAATTGAAGAAACATCTTTCTGCTCTTTTTCTTTTCCTCTTTATTAATATCCTTATCAAAATTATTTTCTGATCTGATAACAATTAAATTCCCTCAATTGCTCGGTTGCAAATTCCAGTCATTATTGCCTCTGGTCCATATACCTGAAAGAAAAACATGATATCGATTATGGTTAGCTGACATGTCTAAAAACCCCCATCAAAAACCTTAGATCATGAAGAATAGAATACATTATTCTCTGAAAACCAGAAATGAGTTACCTCAACAGGAACTCCAAGCTCCTCTCCTACAGCTTGCATCTTGGCCAAGCCAGTTTGATAGTTTGGACCACCCCTTCTGACATAGATATGTATATTTGCTTCTCTAAGCTCAGATTTCTTTTCATGCCAGAGAAAAAAATCATATTTGTTTCAGCAAGTGAAGGGGAAATGAAAGGTATGAAATTGAATTTTTGGTTGTATTAATGTGAATGGTGGCCTATACCTTCTCTTTCAAGGCTCTAATAATTCCATCAAAAGTAGCTCCAACATCTGTCAAGTTAGCTATGTTGCCCCCAACTAGAAGGGCTCTTTTTCGACCATCAGGATTTGCTGTGGCACACTGCAATCTCAAGTGTCAGCACATCTCATTTATCATCTAGGGAAGATTACCATAGAATGAAAGGAGAAGAAACTGAAAATTGTCATAAGATTCTCACATCAAGTATGACCCTGGCTAACTTCAACATCTCCTCCTCACTTGGACCTCCATACTCCGTATAGTTTCCCAGTTCTGCTGCATAACCCAGGTCTCCAACCTAATTTAGATTCAAAGGTACCAGCTGGTTGATAAAGTTATGGTCAAGGAACATTTATAGATTAATGTCAAAGCTCCGTTTTCAAACCTTGTGATTAGGTTTTTAGCCAGAAAATTAGTATTGGCAGATTTTTGCATCAAATTGAGCTGGTGTCAAAGGAAAAACTCACAGTATCGGTGTATATAAGACTTGCACCACCTCCAGCAATCATGTTCCAAATGCGTCCTTTGGGATTCAGAAGAGTGAATTTCAAAGATGCACTTGTCTGCAATATTGAAACAAGGCCAGTAGATTGAAATAATATATATATATATATATGTATATATATGTATGCGTATGTGTATATATGTGTATGTATATGTATATGTGTATGTGTATGTGTATGTATATGTATATGTGTATATATATATATGTATATGTACACATACATATATGCACAAATATGTGTATATATGTGTATGTGTATGTGTGTATACATATATACACATATACAAATACATACACATACACATACACATACACATACATATACATATACATACATATATATATATATATATGTATAGTCAAGATTAAGGGTTTCAAAATTGAAATAATATAGCAACAACCTTCTCATTTAAATCATGAATGAAACTTTCTTCAGGACTTGGGATTCGGCCGAAAGGGTGTGGAAATTCAAGATTACCCCACCTGCATATCATTGAAAATATCAGGACTTTTGTCAATTTTCTTTTAATTCTAGATAGGAAAAGAATCTTTGATGTTCTGACTTATGCTTACTTCTCTTCATTCTTAAAGCCGGCATTCTCATCTACTTCTCCTCTCATATCCAATGGGTATGGCTCTCCATCAACCAAAGTAAAAGGATTCATTTCTATGAAACTGAAATCCAGATCTGCTTAGAAATACAATATGTATTAGAGGCAATACCTTGCATATTTGAGAAAAGCTAAGGATAGATATCCTGATAGGTGACAACAGAACAAGAAGGTTAAAACAAAATGGGATAAACCATCAATCTTCGATTTACAAGCATTTCCTACCCTGGAATACGGCAAAAACACCTTTCATGAAATCCGAAATTTTCCCATGAATCTGTGACAGCAAAAGTGCAATTTAAAAGAATGTCAGACATCAACAAGAGCCAAGAAGAAATTTACACATAAATAAGTGTTATACTACATTACCTACTTTTACTAAAAAATGTTACAGTCCATTATGTTCTGCAACCAAACACTTCAATTTTTTTTGGTACAAAGTAGACGCAGCCTAAAGATACTGGAAGGGGTTATAGGCACTGAGATTATATGTCATCTCTTAAAGGTGATTCATGAATCAACTGGACTAAATTCCGGATTCTCAAACACTTTAATTTTCACATAATAGTTATTATTTCTAAAGTTGTTTTACATATCAAAATGAGGGATCGATCTATGCAAGCAGAGCAATCCCGCTGCGAAGAACGCGGGTCGAGAGCAATTTTCTCTTAACAAATCTAAGCTTCGAAAAACTTCTAAATATCAGCAGAGTTGCTGCAACCGGTTTCAATAAATCCAGATGACGGCATGCATAAGCTCAATAGATAAAAATGTAGAAGAAAATAGAGTCTTGAGCCAAACCTCCAAAGGTAAACCAGCAATGAGTGGAGCAATTGTCTCATTTGTCAGGGGACTATCAGTTGGAAGAAATATAGAGTTAACCTGAGAAAAAAAAAAAAAAAACAACAACAATATCAATATCAACACATCTATATACTTTTCTCTGCATCATATAACAGAAAGCAACATATCAAAGAAACCAAATCTGAGTACTGAAGTTGACATATACCTTGTCCCAGTACTCTTCAATTTCAACGCCACCGCATTCTGAGAAGCTTATAGTGCAGCCTAGCCTTTCAGAATCAATTGCAAAATAATATTCTTCTTTATGAGGAATAAATGGTTCGATTATGAAGGTTGTTATAGGCCCTTTACAACCTTCAATCTCGATCTAAAAACAACACAAAGATTCAGAAAAATGTTGATTTTGATCAGCTTTTTTATGACATTTAGTAAAATCTGATTAATCACCTCTTGTCCAAGGCGCTTCTTGACGAACTGGATGACTTCAGCGAAATCCAAGTTCAAGGCTACAAGGCCACTCTTCCCTCGTTTCCCGAACAACATATCTGGCTTGACAACCAATCTTCTCGCCGATAACCATTTTTCTTTGTCCAACAGTTCTGTAAAGTCTGTTGATTTTGTCACCTTATAGATTGGAAAAAAAAAAAAGAACAACTTTCATTTTTGTATCCCATGGAAACAAAGACAATATTGGAATATACAATTAAGTACATTATTGTCCAAAATGTTTCGCTCTCGCTGTCCTGTTATTTGCATGTTGAAAAATGAACAAACTATAGCCTTAAATGAAGTTTTTCCTCCTTGCTTTTGCTTAGATATGCATGAAACAAAACCCTGAGTATATATATACAGATTTCAATATTTTGTTTTGAGTCATATATTGAACAAAAATTTTATTAAGTTCTATATGCACATGGAAAAAAATAGCTCGGGGCTCGTTTTTCATACTTGAGCAGAACAAATTGGAAGTTCGATATTAGCCAGTCTCTTTAAGTTCTGTTTCAGAAGGCTCTTTGAATCGTACTCTCTTATCTTCTTCCTCGCCATTTTTCAATTTACCCAAGAAGAAGAAAAAGGAGAACGAGGAGGACAAAAAAAAAGAGAAAGCCCAAATAAATTGTGTTGTAATGGAGCGTTGAGCCTTGGTCTCTAATCTTATAAGATGTATGAGATTTTTTTTTTTTTATATAATAAGTACGCAAATTTTCAAAATTGAAACTAATTAGCACATGTTTTTTAATTATTAAATAATTGTTTTAATTAAAAAGGAATCAATTATTGGAGGGGCAGTGAAAATAATGAATAAGACTAGGGACTAAATAATAATAAAGAAAAATAATGTTTTTTTATGTTTTGCTTGTTGCAGAAAAAACAAAACAAGAATTATTGGGTGCTGGTGGGCCCATCATATTGCTGGTTGGTATCCTAGTGGGGCAATGGAAAGTTGTGATTGCAACAAAACATTGGGAATTTGTGCCTGGAATCATTACCAATATTCATCAAATAAATTGAGATTTCATTTTGTTTTCATTTTATTTCATTTTAAAAATTTTTATAAGTAAAGGAAATAAGAATATTTATATTCATTTTTGTTATAAACACAGTCAATACTACGGGAATACCGCATTTTCAGTTTTCACCGAATATCAAATATTAAAAGTGTAAAATTTTACCCATAAGATTGTTTGAGTTGAGTAAGTTTGAATATTTTATTTATAAAATTTAAGTTTGAACTTTATAATCAATAACTTTTTTAAAAATAATTTATAAATTTAATATAAATTTTAAAACCTATGATTTGACCTGATTTTGATTCCCTGCTTCTATATTTTTTTAGTACAGACAAAACTGGTAGAACTTCAACTACTTTTCATTAAAAAAATAAAGAACATCAACAACTCCAGTGTGGTGTAATATCAAACTTTTGCTAGTCTGTTCTGTGAAAAAGTACTATAATTAATTCTGAAAATCATGGTGCCTTGCTGGTTTCCGGTTTTCTCTTACTGGCCAGTATTCCGGGATCTGGTAGGATTCATTGTCGTCTTTCACTATTTTTTTTCGTTGAACATTTTGTTGTTCGATCATCATCAATAGATTATATATAAAAGAGAATTTTATAATTATTATTATTATTTTACAAACAAAATTAAAATATTATTATGTATATTTTTTGTTATATTAATTTTTTAAATATACTCTAAAAAATATGTATTAACTCTTTAATTTCATTTATAAAATTATTAAACTTTACTAGTGATGCATTGATTTTTTTTTTCATTTTATTATTTATCTATACATTAAATTAATGTTGTCTCCAAAATCTCCCTATGGAGACAACTTTCAATGTAAGAGTAGGGAAAAATTTTAAAGAGAAAAAAAAAGAGAGGAATGTAAAAGAAAAAAATATTTATTGATAGTGTTTGATTTTTAATTTTAATTATCAGATTCAAATTTCGCCTGTTAATGATAAATTAAAATACCTAATTAATTGTCATATGAGAATAATTTTTTTTTTATTTTGCTATGACAATTTTTTCTTTAATTTGCTTTCATATAAAATTAAAAGAAAAAAAAAACAGATAGGAAAAATGAAGAGATCCAACATGACAATAGATTGTCAAATGGGAATCATTTTTTTTAAAAAAAACAATTAGAGAGGAATAAAAAAAAATAATGAAGAGAACAAGAAAAGAAAAGGATCAAACTTGAAAACAATTTTAAAACTTGGTTTGTGAAAATATTTTATATTAAACAATTATTTTTATTTAATTTTAATTTTAATAAATATTTTTAAACTTCAAAATATTAATATAATAATATTTTTAATAATAAATTTAAACTAAAAATATTTAAATGAGTTTTATCTAGTTGGCATGATTATTGACCAAATCTTTAAAAATATCTTAGACGCACATGAACATCTTTAATGGTCAGTTGGCCAATAAATTTAACAAAATGAATAGATTGATTTTTTTTTTCCTAAATTATTAGGATTCACATGTGCATATCCCTCCCTCCCTCTCACAAAGATACAGTTTGAGAATACAAGACTTCTTTTCTTGTAACACATTTCATTTTTAATTGTGGTAAAAAAAAATTTTGACGGTAAAAAGTCGAATAAAATTTTTCAAAATTATCAAGAATTAAAATTGAATTATTAAAATTAAAATTTTAACATTTTATTAATAAATCAAAAGTTGTCGCGATCAAAAGGGCCACTTTATTAGCCGTTATTTTGCAGAGGCAGCTGGGAAAAAAACAAAAGCTATTTTAAAAGTCCGCTCGGTGGTTGGGATACTTTTTACATGTAACTTATCTCTATTCAATTTTTTTGGCCACATATAAGCTATCTACGACCAATCAATAACTTATACCAAAACTGTCCGATCGAAAGCTAACAAAAACAAGGAAGGACTGCGCATGTGAATGCACATGAACCAAATCGTTAACAATACGTTTGGAAAAATATATAAATTCTTTTTTAAAATTTTGTTGGTTAATATTTTATTTTCATATTTGACTTATAGTAATTTGATTATGGTAAAAAATATTAAAATTTTAATAGTATTTAAAATCTTAAAATAAAAAATTTACATCTTTTTATGATATTTTAAAATTTTTGAAAAAAAAATTTATCTTATTTTTAAATTTAATTTGAATAAAAAATAATAAAATAGTCATTACTCTTTTGAAAAATATATCTGAAAGTGATTAAAATTTAGTTATAAGTTTTTATCCCAAAAAGTTTTTTTATATTATAATTAAAGAGTTTGGTATGAAAAATCATCTTAAATAATTTTTTTTATATTTTTATAAATAGATTATTTAAAACATTTATGTATAGAAAATACTTTAAATAATTTTTTTTATATTTTTAAAAATATATTATTTAAGATATTTTTGTATAAAAACACTTTAAATAATATTTTTTATATTTTTGCATATAACATTATCCTATCTTAATTTTTACATATATCAAACACAAACTAAGATGATATTATTTAATCTAATCTTATTTATAATATCATTTTATCTTATCTTATTATAATTTTATGTATCAAATATACTCTTAGAATTATTATATTAAATAATACAATTTTGAATGCATTAAAACTCATAAAATTAAGTGTTAATTATTACATTTAACACAAAATATAATTTTAACTAATAATTTAATTAACCTTAAATAATATTTTAAGATATTAATTAAACCCATTCTTTTTAATTGCTTTTTCATCGAGAGATTCTGTAACCACCTCAAAAATTAATTAGCGCAAGAGGATCTTAATTTGAAAATATTAATGTCATTTTTTTTTATCAAATGTGATATATGCTTTGATAAAAAAAAAAAAAAAAAGAAGGAAAGAACAATGAACGTAAATTGAAAAATATTAATATTTATAAAAAGTTACACTTCCAAATGGAGACGAATGGAACAATAAGAAACCAACGAGTTACAGAGACGGAGAGCATCTCTAGGCAGGTAGCTGGTACTAATCCAATATTCAAGATTGGAGAGGACCTCCATCCTTGAGCTTTATTATCACTATCAACCACATATGCATATTCTAGGAACCAAAAACGGAAAAGAAAAAAATAAGAGACATGACTTGTAGTTAATTCCCTTAAACGGGATTAATTTATTGACACATGTAAAGGCAAGAATTGAAGGTCCAACTAAAGTAGAAAAACTTCATCGATCGTCCTCTAAATTATTTTATGCTTGAACCAGTTTTTCAGAGCTTGAAATGTGCCAGAGCAGAGGTCCCTTCTACACCTTTGATGTGCTTGAATTTAAAGTAGTCGACCACATTGGTTTCTTTGTAAAGTGGTGGGTTTTCTTCGGAGAGCAGCTCCTTTATCGGTCCATACATTCTTAAGGCATTATCTGGCTGAATATATGTTCGGAAAAAGCTAGCAATTGATATCCTTGGGCCAACATTTTTAGCCAGCACTCTGTGATAGACGCTAATGAACTTATCGTTTGTGATCAGCTGCAAAAAAAGACACAAATAAACTTGTCTTAGTCAAACGGAGACAAAATTTATTAATCACTGACAATAACATCACCCAAGATGATTTTTGGTTTTCCATATTGTTTACACTTTTAATAAGTGGGCAATTGCAACTTGTCTTAATTCTAAATTAATGTAATCGTTGGCTTGCCTGTAGAAGATCTCCCAGGTTTATTATAAGAGCTCCTGGAATGGGGATAACATCTATCCATTGATTGTCATGTAGGACTTGGAGACCACCCATTTGGTCCTGGAGGAGAACGGTGAGGAAACCACTGTCTGTGTGGATGCCTGTGCCCATAGTCAGTTCTGGTTCAGGGCAGGCTGGGTAGTAATGACCCATAACATAAAGTCCCTCTGCGCAACCAATCTCCTTGAGGTGGTTAGGTTTGAGCCCAAGAGCTTCTGTTAACAATTCGAATAGAGTAACCCCCAACTTCATTACATTGTTTGTGTAATCAAGCATTATCTCCCTGCCAAATGATATCAAGTTGGTAATTAATAATAATAATAATAAGAGTAATGCAATTGCTGTCGTTTTCCATGTTGGATGGTGACCATCGTGTGATTTTACCTGCAGGCTGCAGGCAGTTCTTCAGGAGCAGGGGGACGAGGTGCCATAACACATGTCAGGGTATCTCTCCAATAGGCAGTCAAGGCTTGTGACATATCAATTTTAGTGTTGAATGTAACCTTCTTGGATTCATCACGGGAGTAGAGCTCTTCTTTGGCTTCAGGTTCCTGCTCATGGAACCTACGAATGCCGTTGATCATCTCCTCCAGGGTGGTTACAGGGATTCCATGGTTAACCACCTGAAAGAATCCCCATTTCTGGCAAGCATTTTTGATTTGGTTCGTTGTCTCTGCCCGTCGAGTGGAGTCATTGTCGACACCTCCCAAGTCAATGACTGGAATCTCAACGTTGGCAGGTGGAGGCCCTGACTTAATCTCAAGATTCAAGCGATCGTGCACGAAAACTCTTGGAAGTTTAGCCAATCCAGCATCAACGAGTCCTTTTATGCCGGCCTTGGATCTGTCAATAGCCATTAACTCACTTTTCCGGTCATAAGTAGACTCCACTGTCGCTGTACTTGTGACGACCATTTTCTTTTTGCCTAATTTTTTTTTTTTTTTTGCCTAATGCGCTGAGAAAATGAACGTCACTCTTGTTACTAATATTCCAAGAGACTGAGAATTTGGAATTGGGCGAAGCTTGAACTAAACTTGTTGGGTTTATATAGACGCCTTTGCAGCTTCCTATTAATCAATAAAATTAAAATTCCTGACGTATTTTGCACCAATTAAATGACAGCCATGTTATTTTCTCTTTGATTGGTATACATGGAAGAGCTTGCGCTTGATACTGTCAATTCAATTGGAAAAAGTTATTGTCAATTCCTGTAAGTTTTATCCCAATTCAATTGCCCTTGTTACTTATGGGTGCACCACTATGCGTAACCACCATCTTAAAGAGTTAGTTTTCTTTGTTTGCTTTTTTGCTTTTTTGCTTTTATTCTCCCTTTCACATAAAAAGTTCTACTTTGGTAACAAATTTTTTAAATAACTTATATCAATACTATTTATAATTGTAAATAACATGTGATTTTTTAATAAAAGGTTAAATTTTTAATTTCATTAATCATGATTTAATTTTTTATAAAGTAAGAAAAAAAAACTATTTATAACATAAAAGTCTTATGTTAAAATAAGCATTATAAATTATTTTTTATCACAAAAATGTGTATAATTTTTATTACAAATACTTTTTATAGCATCATTATTTGTACCATAATATAAATTTTTTTTTACTAAATAAATAAATAAATAATATATATATATATATATATATATATATATATATGATAGTGATAGGGTCATCAGATCCTCAGGATTTTTTTTTCCGGAGTTACAAAGTCAGATCCTTAGGAGCAGACGTTTTCTTTTTCAAGATTAGATCTCTCATTTTCTTCCCGTATTTAAAATGAAAATTGGACAGAGTAGTTATTGCAGATTACCCGTCGAGAAAAATTTGAGAAAATCGAAAATTGATTTAAAATTATAATGTATGGTTTAATTTGAATAGTTTTTTTTTATTTGATTTAAATTAAATTTGGATATTAAATACATATATTAAATTTGAATTGAATTTTGGATTGGAATGTAAAAAATGAAAAAAATTGAATTAAATTATATATTTTTATTAATTTTTATATATATTTTAAATTTTTATAAAATAAAAATAATTATTTTATATATAAATCTTTTAAATATATTAAAAATTATATTAAAATAATATATAAAAAATAAATTTTAAAATCAACGAACCAAATCAAACTAGTAGAATTTGATTCAGATAGGATCGATCTCGAGAAAAGATCTGTTTAGATTTAGATTAAATTTTAAAAATTTATAATATTATACATTATTTAAAAAAATTAAACCGAAATTGATTTGATTCTAATAGTTATCACACCTACTTCATATTTTTTAAACTTTTTTTATTATTTTCCATGTGAACCAAACAAAAGAAATTAGAATTAAAAAAATTAAATTTTCCTTGAACCAATAGACTTAAATTGTAGGGATAATATCTCATTTGAGCTTTAAATTATTGCACGTTTTCTAACATGGTATCTAAATAAAAAAATTTGTAGCCAAATATTTAAACTTCATTTCCATGTGCTAAGTTACTCCAAACTTTTAACGCCATATATTTAAACTAGAATAATACTAATGCAGTATTTAAATACTAACATGGATGATACATAATTATTATGTGATTTGAGAAGTGACTATCATATATTATTTTTAAAAAATTAAAAAAAGTTTTAAAAATAAAATTTTAAAAAAATTATTATTATTTTTTTAAAAATAACATGTGACAGTTACATAACTACCACATAATAGCTATGCATCATCCATGTTAGATTTAAGTACCACATTAGCATTATTCTAATAGTATTGAGCGGTTGCGACAGCTTATTATATGAAAATAAAGTTTAGGTACCTAATTATAAATTTTTTTAGTATAGATACCATATTAAAAAATTACAATAGTTTAAGAACCAACTGATGTATTATCTCAAAATTATATAATGTTATTGGAGCGACCTTAAGCAATGAAATAATAATAACCAGCCTTATGCAAACTTATTTATCTGGGTGAAGGATAAAATTTTGATTATTTAGATAAAAATATTAAAAACAAAAAAATTATAATATAGAAGTAAGATGTTTGACTCTCAAAACTTTATTTTTAGTTTATACGAAAAACAAATTTGAGCTTTTAGAGACAAAATTATAAATCAAAATTTCTTAAACAAAGTGTTAATAGTAATAACAAGAATTTAATGAAATTTGTTACTTTTTCACTTTATTCTTACACAATTCATAAAATTATAAGAAGGATTATATTATTACATTTTATATTTTTTTCAATTTTTATTTATTTTTTATTCTAATTAACATAAATATCTCTTTATTTTATTTATTTCTTTCACCTAAAAACTTATGATTTAATTCAATAAAATTGATTATTTTATTTTTTCAATAAAAATATACAAAAATACTATTAAGTAGTTTTCAACATTTTACAATATTTCTATATTAAGTTTACCAAACGTTATTTGAACTGTTTTTTACAAAATTTTTAGAACAACTCTACTCAAACAGCATTTTTTTTTTTACAAAAGCTCCAATTATACCACATAGACTCTAATTATATGTATGTGTTTCTAAAATGAGAAAAAAAAAGGTAGAACTAGGGTTTTGTTTGTTTCATGTAAAATAATTTTTGAAAAATGATTTTGTACTTTTTTATGTTTGTTTGGCAAAAAGTTGACTTATAAACGAAAAATAATTTACTAATTAATGAAAAATGAAATCAATTTTTTAAAAATTGTTTTCCTTTTTCGAATAGAGGAATACAATTTTTAAAAAAGAGTTGTTTATTGATAAGACTACTTATTAATGTCCTTGAGCGTAATTCTACTCATGTTGGATCTTATAAATGTTATTTTAAGCTCAAATTTAATTTGACCCTACCTTAAATATTATTATATTAATAAATAATATTTTATTTAATTTTATTTATTTTATTATATTAATAAATAACTTTTAATATTTTTAGTTTAAAATATATTATTTTAATATTTTTATTTATTAAGGTATTATTATGACTATTTTAATAATAAATATAAATAAAAAAATATTTTTGATATGATTTAATAATATATACTTTAAATATAAAATATATATTTAAATTGTATAAATATTTTTAATATTTTAATAATAAATATTATAGTATTAATAACAATAATATTTTAAGAATAGTAATACTATTTAAAATATTTTAAATTATTAATATAAAAAAAAATTTTTTTAATGTAATTTTTTTATTATTACAATACTTAATATTAAATATTATTAAAATATAATTATTTTTAAAATTAATAATTTAAATAATAATTTAAATAATAAATTATTTTAATATATTTTAATAGTAATGTTAATATTATTTGAAAAAAGAAACAAATTTTAAGAAAACAACCAAACAATATAAAGTCTTTTTCTATTAACTTATCCAAATAATTAAAAATTTTTACTTCTCAAAAAATAAAAATATCGTAACATTTTTTGAAAGTAAATTTTCGCAAAACTAATGAAGCCTAGAATTTCAAATATGAATTCTCACTCTACTTTCTAAAAATAAAATTACCATTATAATCTTTTGAATATAAACCTTTTGTTATATAATTCGTCTTTTTTTTTCAAACTTGTAACTGAGTTCGTGTCACTCAACTTTTAACAAAATAAGCTTAATTAGGAGTTTTATAATTAATATAAATAATAATAACAATAGTGTTGATGATAACAATGATAAAATAAAATTCTTGAAATAGATATAAAAAACAACAATGATGATGATAACAATAATAAAGTAAAAAATTTTATACTTCCATTGTCCTATTTTCTTTGTACATTTGTTATTTTTTTATGTCTCAAATTTATATATATTTTTTTAACACCTAAAACTCTTACTTTTATATTTTAAAATTATTTTTATGATTTTTTTTTATTTTTTGACATTAAAAATCATAAAACTTTAATTTTATAAAAATTTAAAATTTAATATTAAATACATTAAAATCAAATTTTTTTTTAAACTCCATGAAAATCAATAATATCTAAATAATTTGGGATGAAAGAAGTAGTAAATGAAGAAAACAACCAATAAAATGGAAGAAATTATAAAAAGCTCCAAAACCTAGATTTTTTTTCTAGTAATACTAAAATCATATTTTAATAAATTTATTAATTAATTAATCAACGAGACTTTAACTTAATATAGTTAAGAATGTTTGAAAACTTTATATTCAAATTAAATTCTAATATGCATGCATGATTTTCGTTTAGTTTTGTTAGGGGCATTTTTAGGTCCAAAAGGCAAAATGAACCTTTTTCTCATTAATATGTCAGTAGACAACTAAAGGCATTTTGAACTTTTTGGTTGAGCTGACATGTTAGGTTGAATTCATAAGTCCACGTTAGTTTAGCCACCTCATTAAGTCTTCATGTTGGACCCCTAAAGTACTAACTTGGCACACTCTAAGTGGAGAGTCAACTGCCATGTCAGTTCGGACCCATTAGGTCAACACTAACCCTTAAAACTAACCTTGAGCAATCTAGGCTACTTGTAACCCTCATCTTATAGGTATAAATAGCACAATCTAGGTACCTTTCAATCATCTTGCCTTTTAATATTTTTTGCTTTCTCTTCCCTATTTTCTAAACCAACCACTGACTTAAGCATTGAAGCACAAATACTGAGACCAATCGTAGCCTTTGTTGTTAACCATTCTCTTTCCTCTTCCATTGTGATTTTAGGGTTTTGCCCTTCTGTTGTTGAGAAATGAAAACTTGTTATAACTAAAACAGATACCCAGCTTAACCAACCAAATCCTAACCGACCTATAGCCATAGCCATAGGTCCTATAATGGATTAATTCCAAGCTTTAACCCAACAACTTCAATCCTTGAAAGAAATGATTCAAAACTTAACCCCACCTCAAACCTTCAAGGCACTTGACCTGGTCACCGTTAAAAACCCCCATGTCTAAAAATTATCAAGCTATAATGACATTTTAGCCTTATCAACATTAGATGATGAGAAAAAAGTCATACCAATAACCTATTATCTCGTACACACCTTGAAACAAGCTAATAC